TTGTCTCGTTTTATCTCAAGTGACTCCGGAGATTCGCGCTGCGGCAGTCACACGTCTCGCAATACTTGTTCTATATCCCTTGGCAGTTCTCGGGATTATCTAGCGCGTGACTCGAAAACGAGGGAATAATCGATCGACAAGTGACTGTTGCATCGAATTAAGGACTTATATATTATAAAATACATGAAAAGAAAAGGAGGAACAGTTTGTGTTCTTAGTGTTATAATTACATATAAAGATTAAATTACAAGACAAATTTTAAACGAAAGATTTGACTTGAGTGCAATTATTTGCGTTTACAAGTAATCTAAAATCGCTTTAGAATACTTGAAGCTCATAATTTAACGAGGGGAAAGAGCTTAGCTGCATTGTGATCCACTTATAACCATCACAATGAAGTATTCACTCGTCTCGAAGCTAATCACTCCGAACATCTATTTGAAATCTAAAGCTGAATTGCTGCTCATCGAAAAGACACTCGAAATTAATCAATCGACATTGCGACGAGTGTGAATCGCATTTTCACGCAGCGGAATTGCGGCGTAGATTTTATTCCCGGTGAAATTCCATGCTATCATTTTCTTATTTTCTCCTGTCCTTCTTGCAAATCGAAGATATCAATTGGGTATCGCCCGCCTTTTGTACCGTCCTATTCGTCCGATTTCCATCTTCGTGAATTTTCCGCGGAATGCTATCTTCCAAACCTCGATTATTCACTGGACACTTTTATGTCAAACGTAAGGACAAATTTTTTTGAATTTTTGAAGGTATTATTTTTTTGTGCACCCGTTAAAACGTATCCAAACGTATATCCATATTTGCTCCTGAATAAAATTACATGGACAAATAAAAATTGTTATGTAAATATAATCATATGTAATTCACGAATATAGATCTAAATTTATTATTTATGTTTTCTAACGCTTCTAAAGTTAATCATAAAATCGTTTTGTCTGAAAATTCTGTAAGGAACATTTATAATTTTGAAATTTCGGTCGGAAAATTAGGGGAGTTTTATTTTTACCTAAGTTCAAAGATACAGTCGCTCGTGAGGACTGAAACTCGCACAGGGAAATTTTAGTAAATTTAGTTTTTAATTAGGTGCGTAAGACCGGCAGCGCGCTCCAGGAATTTCTTATTAGATCTGCTTAGAGAACTCCGGGCAATTATCCTCAATGGTGGCTAAAACGTGATTACGCGAGCTTTCATGACGGAATATTTTTCACGCTGATAAAAGGCGTCTGGGGAATCTCGGCTTCGTGAAAGAAGACTATTTCGTGCACCAGTTGCGCGATATTAACAACAGTTGTTGCTACACAAACTGCTAAGATATATAACACATACCAACCTATAGAGTTTAGATAAAAAAAAAACTGAAAAAAATTCGATTTGCTAAGTATCAAAAAATTAAAACTAATGTAAGTATTAAAAAAATGGCAGAATTTTAATTGACTTAAAATTACACTGTTTAAAAAAAAATTTATCGCAGTCTGATAAAACGTAATAATTTTAGGCCCAGACATTTAACTTTACATAGTTTTTAGTTTGTAACATTAAGATACAGATTTTCTGAAACAAATGGTTCTTGTAGTAATTGTCGTTTTTTTTTTAAATCTTTTTATCAATATGGCCCACGCAAAGTTTTATTAGGCGGAAAGATTTGCTTTGACTTACGTCGATTTTTATATCAAACAGTGTATATATTATTGTCATGTAATTATGTGAATAAACAAACGCAACATGTAACGACAAGCAAACGATTTTTGGCTGCCACAAGTTCGTTACATTCAGCTGTTTTCCAGAGATATTGTTAATGCATTAATAATGTCACGTCTGACAGCGGTATTACAACCACCTGCCAGGCGTCTAATCAACTCTTATTGCTTTTTCTCTTTTTTTTTTCAACGCCCGGCGTTGGACCCCTTCGCGCATCAGCAGCATTATGAATTTCTATTACGTTTTTGCTCTCTTTCACTTTTTCTCTCTCTCTCTTTTCTTCTCGCTTGTAAATATTGCTAGTACCGTCCGTCAGAGATCGAGATAGTACGCGCTGACGTATTCCTGTACACATTGGCAGTGGAATATTCGCTTTTCCATTCACGTCACGTTGCGTACGCCAACATTTTTAATTTAAGTTCGACGCGAAAGAGTCGAGCGAAAAAAATTTTTTTTTGCGAATCGTGGACGGATTCCGAATAGCCGTGAATCCAGGACGCTTAGGAAGATGAAGAGAGAGGAGTGAAAACAAGAGAGGACTGAAACCGCTCCTAAGATTGTTTGGTGCAGAAGTTGCAGCATGACGCCACGATTAAATCGTCCCGCCGCCGTGACAGTAATAATTGCGCTCTCGGCGGGACACGTTTTCACGATAAAAAAAGGGGATATTAACGAGCGCCGGTCTTAACTTTATTAGCTTATCGCTCGTCCGCGCTATTATACCTGCTATTATACGCGCGCAGAATGAAGGAGATCCCCTCGCGTGCGAATGTGCTCCGAGAGATCGAAAAGAATGCGGAATGTCGTAATGACAACTGCGAACCACAGCGCAAAGCAATAGCGTAGTTTATGCCATGCATTTTATTGGTTCTGTGCATGCTTCCGCGTGCAAATCCGTATTCGTTTGCGTCGAAGGACGTAAAATACGGTATACGGTATTCGTGTGCCGCGCGTCTGGCGTTAAACACGGTCGTCCGTTTCCGTGATTTATCCGTTCAATATGGCGACCGTATTCGTCGATGTTATCGCGGGCTAAGAATCGCGCCCAGACTAAGCATTTAGCGTTAAACGTATGACATAAACACGGTGCATGCTCTTTGCTACATATCGCCGCCGCTTTAAGAGTGACCCGCGAATACAGTAAACGAACGCTCTCGGGCGGTCTCATCCCGGTATGAGCGAGCTCATACGCGGTTCGAAATATCGTCGCCTGAGAATCGTCGTCATTGCAGCAAATGACAAAGATAAGCTGGCCTTTGAACTCGCCGAAATGGAGGCACTTGAGCACGTACTGACAAGCGACATTGCTGCTTGCAAGCGCACTCGAGAAAATCCTTCGAAACGCGCTAAACGGCTTGCGCTTACTTGCTCCATTCTCAATAGCAATCTTCAGTCATCACTCGAATTCTTTGTTTGATCGTTTGTAAAGGGCATCGATTTGCAGTAATGTACAGGCTATTTCCGGAAATTGTGCTTCCAAGACGACATATGGAATAAATGACGCAAACGAATTTGATTCGTAAATGGTGCAATAAATTAGATTCTTAGACTTATTATGTTTTTGTATATAAATAGATTGTAAATTACAATTCTTAATAACGCGCTAGATATTATTTTCAACATATACTATTAAAATGTATCCCAATCGATAAATGACTTTATTCTCACTTCTGAAAGCTCAAATATAGCCAAAGCTCATTTTTAAGCGGCTCATTTTTATGCAACACGCTCGACGTTTGCAAACGCAACGAGAAAGGAAATGTCCGCTATTTTTGTCCCGTCGAAAGTTTGCGACTCTGCGTTTGCACCTAGCATTGGTCGAAAAGGTACCGGAGCTTTCGTTGTATTCAAAATTCAAACAACCGGCAATTCTCACGTTTCGATGCACATATATATGCGGATGTAAAGTGATTTCCATCGAAGATCGAGCACGCTTTCAGCCAAATCTAATTTTATGCAGCGTCATCAATGCACGTGTATTTCTTTCAACGACATTTTTACACGTAATCTTTGTAAGATGATAAATATCGCATGGAAACGCGAAATAGACCGGTGTGAACGTTCTGTCGCATGTGCGACTTGCCATTGAAAGTCACATTGCTTTAATTCACGCTATACACTTTTCCGTTACACGATGCAATTATATTGGTAGAGATGATTTTTTAAGGTTGTTATCCCGCTGTATATATATAGAAATAATAATATAATTAGAATAAAAAATATATATAGAAATTATTGAAAATGAATGTACAAAATGTTTAATGTACTATATAATTTCTGTAAATTTCAATCGGATTCTGTCGCTATGACATGAGAAAATAATGATTAAAATTTGGAAAAAATACACGTTCTTGTGGAAACTGATTGATCTGAGAAACGTTAAGCATATTTTAAGAAATAGAGAAACACATAAAAATTAAATATACAATTTGTGATATATGTACATGATTTTTACAAATGTGTATTTTTCCATATTTGATTATTATTTTCTCGGGTAACAGCGACAAAATCCGATTGAAATTTACGGAAATTATGTATAGCACATTAAACATTTTGTACATTTATTTTCAATAATTTCTCTATATATTTTATTTCTCTCTATATATATAGCGGAGTAACAACTTAAATATTTTATATCGGCTGAAATATTAATTTTAAGCTGCAACCGTTTGTAATGCGTGAGAGCGCTGATTAAATTCCGCGCTGTGGATGAATATTTTTAACGGAATTCGTTCGATTTATTAAAATTTTGACAAAACAGTGTTCTACTGTATAAATTATTTGATTTAAAAATGGGAACAAAATGACAGTTGTCAATAAAATTGTTGCTCTGGAAATTTTTTATGCTGCAGAAAATAAATAATTATTTTATATTTTTAAAGCGAAAAGCAGAATCAACGCATATAAATATCGATATTAACTGACGATTGACGATTAATAATTGTTGCATTGCAATTTTTTCAGCACGTTTATCTTCAATTCTCTAGTCTAAGAAATGATGAAGAAACATGCACTAATAATTAATAGAATGAACAATATCGAGGAAACTGCTATTAACGCTTTCTAGCTTGATAATTAACGTAATTGATTGCTCATTATCCTTGCTTTGTCAATTAGAACGAAATGCTTAACATGCATCTTCCGCGGCAAACGGCATCGCTCCGCACGCGGTGCGGCATGCAAATCATTTCGCTCGCACGCTCGAAAACATGTGCGAGCCATACGCGTCGCTGCGGTCATTCTGATGATCAAAACGCTCAAAACAATAACGATGCTATAATTACCTCGCGATGCGCGCCGGTTGCATTTCTCGCGATTGAATCTCGCGCGTGTTATTTCCGGAAAGTGGGAAGTAATATCTCACGCAGTTCTTTTTTCCTCTCCTTGGATCTTTTCTCTGTTTTTCGCCGACCTGCGGAAAGGGCGACGATTCGTTCTTGCGACGCCGTCGAACGAACGAGAGCTCCTTCGAGCGCGTCGCGGCGCCAACTGGAGAATTTTCACGAGTGCACGAGTCAACCGCTTCGATCACGCGACGCATGCGTCGCACTCCAGCACTGGAGATTCGCGAGAAAAAAACAACGTGCAGCAGAAAAAGAAAACGAAGAAAATCCTGATAAGATTGCGACTCTTGCGGAAACGTCTTGCAATATCATCGAATGCGTTCCGGACGATTGCGTGCATTTATACATATATGAAGTTGAGAGATCAAATACGCTCCCTTTGCTAATGCATGCAAAAATGCAGGGATTGAAGCCGGCGCAAGATTTCCGGTCAATCGGAATTAAGAAGACAACGACGCGAAGTGTGAGCTAACAAGGTGATGCTAATCACACGACTCTGCTATAGCTCTCAGTTCTATAAATACTAATTTAGTACGCGACGCCCTCGCTTCGTCCGCGCTCGCTCGCTCTTATCTGATATTCATATTCGCAGCTATTATCTGAAAGGCATCCGGACAGCATCGGAGTGCATTGCGATGCGTTGCGGATAAACTTGCGAAACGGTACCAGGAGAATAATAATTAGAAGTCGCGCGTTTTGCGGTCGCGTCGGCAGATGCGGGTTTTTGCAACGTTTTGAGCAGTAAGGATGCAGAATGTATTGCAATATCAACAAATAGTATTTGGATGTCCAAATCATTGCGAAAAATGTTCATCTTGATTAAAAATCCTGAAATTCTACAAATTTGCGCGATTAACGTATTATTCCGCGTGCAATATGCTCTTCAATAAAATCTTATGCGTGATACAGATTTTAATGTTCTCGTAATCCACTTTCATCGCGCGACATATAACTTTTACAACAGGCGAGGCGACGATGATGTTCGTCTATGACTACCTGGATAGACTGCGGGGTTTTGAGATTTACGGGTCGTAACCACTTTTGCTCAACGGCGCAGACTGCGTGGAGAAGGCGGTGGGTGTTGTTTTGTATCGACACGATAAATTGCTTTCATGACCGAATCCTTCGATGATCCACCGTCGAACTTTCCGCATTTGGGCTCGCGTCTCGCAAAAGGGTCAATTACCCCCGATAACCTTGATTAACTAATCCTGGGGTAGTTTCTAACTCGAACAAGTATTAACTAACTAATCTCGAGCGCTTTCCATCCCTTTCTGAGTCATGTCTCTAACTATGACGTAGATGGAGAAAGTTGGAAATATTAAGACGCGGTGGAGAAGGAGAAACAGTAGCGCGTTTATGTTTATGTCCCTCGACGTTCCATTCGGAATCTCTTGAGACATTGTATTCACGATTCATGCTCTCTCAACTCTCAAAATTCAAACTGTATAACGTTCTTCTTTACTCGTGAGAAATATAATCAAAAAATTTCGAAATAAAAATTCATGATATTTGTGAGAAATATCAAAGTTACTTAAAAGATGCCACCGCTAAAGAGAAAGAAATATTGATCCAAATTAATTAAATTTTTACATCTGTTTTTGGAATTTAATTTATAGATTTTCTGAATTTTGCAAATTTTAATTATACTAGAGACACAAAATATTCTACCTTAAAATAATAAAATGACACACTCTCTAATGATGAATTTATTTGTATTATGATGAATGTATTTTAGGTATCACATACACATTTCTCGAACAAATACAATTTGAAAATTTTAATTGATATATTTCACCGACAATTAATATATTACATTTGGAGGCTTTGACAGAAATTATAATAATAAATTACATAAAATACAAAATATAATGAAAATACATAAACGTAAAAATGTATAAAAAATTATATAGAAATTAAATATTTGAAATTGAATTATTGTCTAAATTGTTGATATTTTTGTCTTTAGTGAGACATCGATGTTTATTGACTTTGATATGTCTCTGTGTGACAAATATTATACTTTAAAATTATTACTTTTAATACAATATTTTTATAGCCAATTATGAAATGTATGTTTTTTTACTTTTTTCTCAAAATGCGAACATTAAAAGATCTAAACTTTTAAATAAAAATAAGACGTTTTCGTCACAAATAATGCATTTTAACACCACTGAGTTAAAATATTATATATTAAATACTTTGGGACTTTACACAAAAAATGCATAAAAAAATTTTTAATCTTGAAGTTTATATGAATCATCAAGAATATATGAAATATATTCTTCATAATCCGTATCAATTTCGGTATATTCTTCGAGATTAAATATTTGTTTATGCATTTTTTATGTAAAGTCCAAAAGTATTTATTATATAATATTTTAACTCATAGGCATTAAAGTTGCATTATCTGTGACGAAAATGTTTTATTTTTATCTAATAGTTTAGATCACTTAAAGGATATATTTCATATATTTTTCATGATCCGTGTAAACTTTAGTATTTTTCTATGCCACACTAAGAGATTGCTCTGTATTATTATCGAGATATCCAACTTTTAAACTTTACATACATATAAAAGAATGCATGAAAGAATGTATGAAAGAATGTTTCTTGCGTATTTTTCAATTTGTCCGAATGTGTCATTTCTATATGATAATCCAGATGATTTGAAATAGCTAAGTCGTTGTGACAAATATTACACTCCTCCTCTTCATTCATTCCATCTCTTTTTGTACAATATTTCCATAGCCATTTGCGAGGTATATGCTTCTCCCGTTGTTTTTTTTAAATGTGAACTTAAGTGATTTTCTGCAAATTCAGATATAGACAGAACATTTGCATCACACAGATAATACATAACTTGTTTAAATACTTGAAATACGTACCATAGTCATTTTATTAGTTTTATCTCTTCTTCGTATTTTTAAATTTCTTGATGAGTATTTGCTTCTGCCGCTGAAGAATGCGAACTTAAGTGATTTTCTGCAAATTCAGATGTAGTTTTCTCTCTTCTTCGTATTTCTAAATTTCTTTATGATGTGTTTGTATATGTCTTCCGAAGCTTGCAGGGCTTATATAATATTTATTTTCGCAAAACATGCACTGTACTTCAAAATCCGGCAGTTTTATATAATACTTCCACAAATGCTTTTTAGTTCCAATATTTAGCAACACTGTGTCCGTCTGAAGTGACTGGACGCGTGTAACTGAAAAGTTTCTGTTGAAAAGTATAAGAGAGGATGAAAGAAGACGCAGTTTCCCATTCGAATGTAAATATTTATACGTCGGCCAAGTCTAACTAACAGTTATCAAAACACACGGTAACATCTCATGCCGAGTATGTACATATAGTAATAACATCTTACAATTAGTGAAAAAGATTATTATAAAAGTCCATCATTTATATATTATACCACCATTATTGTCACAATTTACAGCCCTATATACAGTGTTATTTAATGCAAATTCTGTTATTCACATACAGAAATTAATTAAACTTATAATTAGATTATTACATAAATGTAAAATGTAGAGTAATTCAAAAAATAAATAATCGGACCGCGAGCATTTATATTAAATCAGTTGAATTGCATCTTTGATAAAGTCCAGAAAGGATTTAAGCAAAAAATTTGGAAATAGCCAATCAGGATCAGTGAAAAAGTGACAATAATGAAAATTTACATGCCTTTTTTTAAGAATTGCACCGCGAAAAGATGAGAGTATCAAACTTGTAAAATTGATATTTAATTCTATGTAGAAAATAAAAAAATCAGATCGAGAAACCAAATTATTTATCGATGACAGAGCGTATAATATTATACGACCCTCAGAATAAGTGTTAAATGTTGTAGCTTACAAGTGTCATAGCTTGAATGATATTTATCACGCGTTGGACGGACGCAACAAGCTCGAATTCGTGCCGCGGGCGAAAAAGATCATGCCACCTTCTTCGCTCAGAAGGTGGCATGATCGAAATGGGGGATTTGATCTACAGGGAGCGCAGCTTAAAAACTTGTATACCTCGGCATGAGGTCGACAAGCTAACAAGGGACAAGGGAAATCCGCGACAAGAGATTTCTGAGTCCCTTATACGTGCAACAAGGCACCGCTGCGTATCAATAGCATCGATGTTTCTTTTATCATAACGATCACATACGTTTTATTAAGACATCAAACTCACATATCCGAATGGTCGTTGTCGTAAAACTATTTATCTGGAAATAAATCATGAGTCCGCAAGAGAGTGTACAGCAAACTTGATGATATTTTGTTAGTTGAGTAAAAAAAAATTGACCAGCGTTTTCGTACTGCAGACTTGTGAAGTCCAATCAAATACAATCATAGATAATAATATATATAAAAAATTAAAAAGAGATGTAAAAAATATAAGTGAATTGTAAGAAATAAGATTAGATGATGTAATATTTTCTCTGATGAAAATTATCTAATACTATTTCTATATTTACGCGCTTTAAAAAATTTATTTGTGTTAAGATGATGAAAGTTTAAATTGAATTTTTTGTTTATGCGAAAAGAATCGATGCGGTTTAACGCCAAGATTGATCTTATTGTTAGCGACAATAACATTCTCGTTCGACGCCTCTTTTCTCCACTTTATGACGCACTTGTCGAGGAAAGTAGGGCACGCTAGGTCTTCGATCATGATAAAACTATGACTGTGCCGCGATTACGTCCGGAAAATTATATGCCAGCGATAATTTACACGTTACGTGAGTCACGCGTGAGGTGCGATTAGCCGACGCGCCGCCGACTGAAACTTCGCGGAAGTAGAAATCCGCCCGCCGTTCGACGCGAGTGCGAAGGTACGTCTCGCAAAAACAATCGAATGTATCTACGAGGGAGAGTCAAAAATAGAGTCAAAACCTTAATATTCACAGTTCCTTTTTACTGTCATATTAAAGTTATTTTTTTATTCTCCCTTGTATATACTTGCCATGTATTTATTTTACGTACGTGGTTAAAGCTGAATAGACCGATCGCTCGACGAACATTTTAAAGTAGTGCTTGGGTCATTTAGAATTGGGTGCTCGAGTAATATCCGAATAGCCGGATATTGAAAGCACTATTTTAAAGCCTTTCTCGCACCGTCGTGCAGTTTCATTTTGACGCGGCAACACAATATAAATACATATCGCAATAACCCACCGAAATAAAGCGTCGCAAATCCGTCGCGTCAGGATATTGCTCTCGTCTACGAGGTATCGTAGTGTCTAAATAATCGAGTACGTGAGGACATGCAACCGAACAAAGTGCATGAAGGGAAAGTTTGCTAGGAACTGATGGACTGCGCCGTAAATACTAGGTCGCTGGTCAGCTCCCTAGCTATGCTGGGGTGCATTCCTTCAAATGAAATTCAAAGCATCACCAAGGAATATCAATCTTGTCTTTTCCGTTACATTTCTCAATTAAATTCAACAAATTTATTATATTATTGTTCAATTGTATTAATATTTTATTTTCTCCATGTTATTACCGTTAATCTATCGTTCTTCCACATTTTTTATATTCGCAGAAACCAAAAGTAACCGTATAATATAAATATTTTTTGCCGCGAAAGAAATACTTTTTATAAATTAGTAACATAGAGTCCGCAAAAATAAGTCAGCCCAGAATCTCGCGGGATCTCTTTAACTTTCGCTTCTATACACGCTTTATAGAAGGTACTGTTCGCCCGTTTGCGTTTCAATACCGCAAAACCGCAAGCGGCGGTTTTATAGCGACCGTAAAAACGTACGTGTATATACGCGATGAAAGCGGCGTCACTCTAAATCTATTTTATCGCCTCTCGGTCTTTTTCAGCGGCTGCAATTTCCACCGCGAGGTGTAAACCGACTTGCGAGTCAAACTGCCAGCTGCTCGGTCGCCGATTTAATTTATTACTGCTTTGAAACGACTTAAAAGCCGTTGGAAATAAAGCAACGATTTTTCTTCAACGAGCACCCGCTGTATTAATGTCGATCCTCTGCCAGAAACAAGGAAGCAACTTTTATTTCCACTGATTGTCACGTTCATTCTTCTTGCGGACGAGAAGGGACGTGAAGGAATTACCTCCGCTCGTCAGATGCCGCGGCGATGAACTCGTCATAGAGATGTTTCTCACGTATCTGAGGGCAAAGTAGCCTTAGTCGGGCAAGGAGATGATAGGTACAGTAGTCGAGGCATTAGGGGGCCATTCAATAAGTTTTATTAAGCTTCGGTTAGCACTGAATCAGGTAGAAAATTCCCGATCTTTTATACGATTTCTTCTCCGGGTAGATCCAGATTCGCATCCTCCATATCGACAATTTTCTTCTTAATTTCTTATTAAATCTAACGATCGATAAGAAGTTAACACTGGGGATTGTAACAGTGTTTCATCATATACAATATACACGGGAAAGGGAACAAATAAATAGCCACACATGGAACATTGTTCATAAAAATATCCGCTCTAAATATTCTCTGAACACTTTTCATGTCTCGACATAGGTATACGATAGTTGGTAATAGCGGGATAACCAGGGCCATGCTGGCCCTAGATAACAATAGTGACGACGACACATATAAAATTGTGTACAATAGTAAGTACTATAATCAGTCGCGGATTGAAGGGTCCCTTCGCAAAGAAAGAAATTCACTTTACACAGTTATGTATTACAGTTATATGTAAGAGAAAACAAATTAATACAAATTTCAAAATTTCGAGAGAACGATTGTTGCAAACACATCACAGTTCGAGGAACGATATATGCCGGCATATATCGTTCTTAAGTTTCGTCAGCTACCGGTAGAGCCACTATCGAATAGTAATAACATTAACCCTAGTACAATAGTATCGCGTAATATCGCGAGAGGATACATATTTGTTAGATGAGATTATTGCACCGCTCGTCTAAAAAATAAGATTACACAGTGCAAATACAAAATATTCGCATCATCAACAAGATTCTTATATCAAGGAGATTAAGCGTGTGTCATGAGAAAGAAGAAAATGGAAATGTTTCTCTAAATGCCTACGGAAAACCGACTACAAAAAGCGCGACTTGAAAAAGCGCGCGTGTATCCATCGTCTGCTTCTCACATTAGTGTCATAACATCGTAATGTTGTGGAACGTTAAGTGCGAAATGAATAACTTCAGTTTTTATCAAAGTATCCCTTAAAGAAAATAAAGAGAGGAAGAAGTGTCTCACTAATACGTCTGATCGAATGGTAGACAACGAGAGCGGAAGGCGGTCAAGAAATACATAGTCGATATCCTAAGAAAAATGCACTACGATTTAAAATATCTCCCTGTGAATAAATAAACCTGCGGTTATTGATTGCATACGTACGAAATTGAGGTACATTGCACTTTTTCTCCTCATCCGAGAAGTATAAAACGAATCTAAGAATAGAAAACTTGCAGATCTGAGTCGCGTATCCTTATTGGTTTCTCTTCATCGCCTTTTGCTTCGTCTATCGTTTCTCCACGCTTTAGCTCGCGACTTGAATTCGAAGATCTCGCAATCGCGGACGCATTCGTCACGTAACGTGGTCCATCACGACTTACTCCCACTGTTCTCAATCGTATTCGCGAGAGGATTCCATATTGTGAAAGAGATTGTGCCGTTCCTCTTCCGTAGATGGGTCTTTCGAAGTCGCGGACCTCACCGCTCTCGGCACCTTGCTCACTTTACTAAAGTCTCTGCTGATGCTGTTACCGGAAACGCTGAAAAAGATATCGATATACATATATAATAGTAACATTATCTTTGCATTATAATGTAAAATGGCACAAGGTGAAAAAATATGCAAAATTAGAAAAATATAGAAAAGCTGTTGTTTATAACGATTAAAAATAAGAGGATTGAATTTAAATTTATTAATCAATGGAATTAAATTTAAATTAATGGAAGAATAAAATATTGGAGATAAATTAAATTGATACATACACGACACCGATTCTGTCGTCTTCATCGTCCGCCTCCGTTTCTTCGCTCGGTACTGTGAAATAAGGATTCGCGGACGCCGGTCGAAATTTGTAACCTGTCAGGACGAAGAACGCGTAACTCGCCATCTCTCTGAATGTTTGTTCCAACCATTGATGGTCGAAGCGTACAGTAATCTGCAACGGAAGTTATTTTCGAATGCATTAAAGTATGATTCATGATTAATGTAATCTATGAAATCGATATCTGGCGGAAATCGCTGTGATTCGCGCAACGGCGTACCTTCAGTATGTACATTACAATTCGAGTGAAGTATATGTAGAAAACTATCATCATGTAGAAATGCTTAAACAGCATTAGCTTGCGCAAGTTCATAGCTGCTTTATCGCTCGTGCGGGCAGCCTCCTCTAAATGCCTGATGCTCCACACCACCGGAAATAGAATTGCGCCGCAACAAATCAAATCGACAAGTATGAATGTATCCCGCGAGGTTTCGCGACGTAAATTGCCCACATCGCTTTCCTCAATTATTATCTCAGCCACATTTGCCAATACCTACGAAGAAACATCTGTCATCATTAAAGTCATTTTGTATTTAAGAAAATATAAAATCTGCGTATTTTTAATTTGCAATAATATTTGCAACAAAGATTTTACTACGTATTTGTATTTTTCAAGCTTAATTTGCTAAATTCGCTCGTTTTATTTAAATTGAATTCAAAGTTAAAGTATTAAATTAAATTCTCGAATTTAAAGTATTTGGACATAATAATATTAAAAAAAAAATTAATTACACATTTTTCGACATTTTCTTAATCTAAATAAGGAAAAGAGATGTCGATGTTTACTTGCAATGGTATAACAAGCATGAAGAGTTTCTTTTCCTTGTCCGTGAGAATAGGTTTTATGAAATTCCATCCTGTGCCAATGAGCACAATAGTAATGAAGAGAACGGCGCCTTTCAGAAGATGTGTAATGTAGTATAAAATTGCCCACGCTTCCACATGCTCGCCCTTGGTTTGGATGAAGTGGTAATTTATCCCGTGAAACAACAATGAGAAAGACTTCAGGTAAACCAGCACCGCCATTAAGTAATGGATCTTGAACACGGTGTGCCTATCGTAAAAGTAAACATTTACATTTTATTTTGCTAATGTTTTATTGTATCTTACATTATTATTTTACCCTTACTTGCTTTTATTAAGAATAAACACCCAGAAACAGCCTGACAAAAAGAAGAGAAGCGCCATCGTGAAGTATAAAGTCGGCAGCGGCATTTCGCCGGCGCTGAGGAAGTTGTCGTTATTAATTTCCGCTACTTCTACCTGCGAGAAAAATAATTTCTTTATCAGCGTGACAAATGATTTTTAATTTCCTAATTTTTTAAATCATCTTTTAAGAGTCTCACCGTGAAATCCACGAGCAACGGCTCTTTGTAGCTGTCGTAATTATGACAATTGTGAAAATAGAGATTGTACAGGCCCGTTTCGTCGTCGGTGGCGACGTACATGACAAAGCTCGTGTTATACGATCTTTCGCCCTTCGTCGTCGTCTCCATTGTCATCGGCAGTTTCAGACCGGAGCAGGCGTTGCTCTCCGACCCGAGTTTTAAATCACCGCCGCTAACAAATGTTCTTTCGATCTCTGCGCAGAAAGATTTTTCATTTGACAATAAATTCCTGAAAAGAAAGCAAAAGACTCGGCCGCATGAAAAATAGAACAATCCATTGACGGGCTGAGTCGTAGATCGTTTCTGTCGACGAATGTGACGTCTGTTCGTCGCGAATGGCGAATAATCGAGGTGAAACATTGCTGACGACAGATGTACTAAGCGCAAAAGACAGTTACCTAACCGAACCTTCAAAAATACTTGCGTTTCGCGTTATTTATAAGATCGGGGACGAGTCGCGTTAATTATAGCATCTCTCATCTACGGCAGTGTTCGATCATCGATGTTGGTTAAAGATCACGTGCCATCACTCATCAATCATCGTTAAAAGCGCTGCGTGAATAATGCGCGAAATATGCCCGGAATGTTTCACGTATTTTTCGAACAGCTACATTTCTACTAGTTCATAGCGTTTGTTCAAGACACAGTCTCTGAATGATTCTGAATATAACTATATATATAATTACAGTATTTTGCAAAATAATTTTCAATCGCACTGAATAATTACATTACACTTATAGCGACCTATTTAATAACGATAATTTCCGCTTATCACACCTCGCTCCGTAATATTATCTATTATGTTTACGATGCATCGTAAATAACTTCCATGGAGAAGCAATGATAAACATAAAAATGTTTAATCTTCAAACTATTACACTTCAAAATGCAATCGTCACGATAATAATAATTGCTAATATGTGAGGAATGCCGCAATTCAGGATCATAAGCCAAGTCTCCAGTTTGCACCTGTTCTACCCGTTGCAGTTAAATTATACCTCTAATATTAGGCGGTGGAGAAGTGTCGAAAATATCTCGCGAATACCGCGATGGTTTATTTTCGATATACCGTACACATCATTGATAACATTTACCAGACATCGTTTTTGCGCTTGTCCTAGACAGAATTTCATTGCTCTATTCATAGCAAACAGTATACAGATCAGAGTTTTTTGAAAGCGAAATCTCCTAGAGCTCGGATTCCGGATTACGCAACGTGGAGGCTAAATGAGATATCTCTCGGTCTATCGCAGCCTATCTGCTCGCATAATTACCACGTTTATAAGCACATGCCAAATGTTGCAAGTCCAACAACTGAACGCGATCTGTCACATTGTGCAACACATTACACGTTAAGTATAAACGCTGCTCACATTACACGTGAGAAATACAATTAGACTGCCATAACAATCGATGAAAGATATACATATTTCAATATTTGCTAGCTATATTTATATACTCCCTGTAAACTCACATCTTTTTACTGTCGCGTGGAAATAAAAATAAATTCACGCTCGATTTAATGCGACTCACCATGCGGTGTATTTCGTTTTCTTCGTGGAAAGAGCGCTGTATCGCTGAATTCCGATAATGAATTCCTCTTCGTTCGGTACATCAACACTGTGCTGGGATCTCTATAAATATGTGCAGCGCGTACATTGCGGCTGCAATTTATTTGCATCCTACAACATTGATTTAGAAATTATTGGTTAAATTTTCGTGCAGATTTCAACGCCGCAATTGTATCACAACTTACGTTAAATTCTTCAAGTCCATGGTAAAATATATGATAGAGCTGTCATCTTTCTGCTCTGCCTTGGGATTCGACATATTTTGTAGCAAGCATCCATCCAGGTGATTGTGCAAGTACGGATTAATCGCATCGATGAGCGTTTGGCTCAAGCTGAATCCAAACTGCAATTAAGATTAAAACGTTATTTTTATGAATCATAAGATAATGATAGAGTTATAATTTTATAAACATTCTGTTGCAGTTATTTTCTTACTTTGCCAAAAAGAATTTAAAAAATAATATAAATTAAATTATATAAATTTTTATAATATATTTTAAAACATTTTTAGTTTTATAAATATTATAAACATTGAACATGAATTGAGAGTTTTTCGTATAAAAAATGCAGAATACAACACGTGCAAAACGAGTGCTATTATAGATGAGATAACAATATAGAATGGGAAATACATAGTGGGAGGTTTTATGTGCCAGTTATGCGTATGTTGAAAGTATGAACAAGTCATTCACGAGTCCAACAAGTCGATGATACACACAGCATCGCATACTCGCACGCTTATTTATAAACGCGGGTGGTTCTCCGCGCGAGCGTATCAAAGTGCGGAAGATGGAAACAGGTGTCCATTGCTGCACAACAGAATGTATTGCATGGCACATGTGCCCTGTTTTGCAACTAGAATTTAATTTGTGGCAAAATGATGAAGCGAGTCATAAAATTTAATTCGTTGAAATGTTTTGTTTACATTGTTGTTAAATCAGAGTTACGATGAAGACATGCATCGCAATGCAGAAAATAAATTTACGGCACAGAAACATTTTAGTATAAAGTTGCTAATATAATTGATAGAAGCTGAAACATATTATTTCTAGAGAGAGAAAACATATCAGGATTAACTTTATTTTTAAATATAATTTTTTCCATTGATTCTTAGAATTTTTAATTTTTTAATTTAAAATTTTGAAACCTTTCGTTGCTTTCGAATATTTTTCTAAGAAAATGTTTCCGAATCTGTTAAGAGAAATCTTGAATGATTCTTAAATATATTTTAATGAGACACTGTGCTTGTTGAGTTTACATTAACGCGGATTGATTAATATGCAACTTACCACAGCTTTCGTTGCACTTTCCGGTGTCAATTTTTTATTGGCGTCAGCCGGCTCAAACTTGAAATTCGTAAGATTCACAGTTAGAATGCCACCTCTGAAGAAACCGAATGTGCTTAGTGTGATGTAGTGCCTGTCATCTTTCTGAAATGCAAACAACATTTTTTTGTAGTAAAACTGCATGCATCGTACGAAGAACGTAGAGCAAGGACCACGAGGCAAAAAAGTAGCTCCAAAAAAGGACAGACTTGTGTATTTATGTACGTTGTTTGCGTCCTTCGGTTTTTGCTTCGTATATGATTTCTCTCCGGCATAATTTTTTGACATATCGCTCTACCGTGACCATGCAAATTGATATAATCAGTGACGTACACTCGACATGACGGTATGCGTTATAATTTTTATAGAATTCTCTTACGCCGAAAAGAGCATCGTATAACTATCGAAATATGCCTATTAACAACTAGTGAATGCAACTGATAATTTCTGTCGACGACACAAAGTGACGGGATATAATAGCGCACTTTGAAATTATCAACGCCGACATGTCACTCGTGATAGTACGGGTCGCTTCGCGCGATACTGTTTTCGATTGCACGCACGATTGTAGACAGTGTATTGCATATTGCGAGCGTCCTTCGCCTTTCATTTTGCAGGATCAATTCACCACATTTTGCGCGATAATCATTAACTCGTTGAAACGACACGTAGACGCAAACGAACATAAACGCGAAAAAATTCTCGAACCAATTTAATAATGCAGTGTAATCACACATCGTATTTTTTTTTAGATCGCAATTAGGCGCACAATAATAATGAGTGAGTCCGTAAAAGTCACGTCACAGCAACTAACCCGTATGTCTAGCTTGTGAATCCTCGCGGTTGCTGCAGCTACCATCAGCAAAATCGGCAGGAAAACACGTGCCATCGTAAGAACGTTCGGCCGCATCTTTTTTTGACTCCTTTGCACTTTTCGCACAGTTGCTAATCACTGCTGTCGGCGACAAGGAGTCGGCGCGTGACGCGTCGAGAACACTTCGCCTTTGCTCGTCGATACGCGAGCAGGAACTGAGGTTCCGGCGCGCCGGAAGCGTCGGAACCGAACCGAACTGACACCGTCATCGTCATGACAGTGTTGTGAAACAGAGGAACACGCATGTCGGACCGTGCGCATGGATTTGACCCTGTGGCCACGTGTTTTCATACGAATATCGCAGAGTTGACAAAAAAAAACTACTAAATAGCCGACGATCGATCGGCTCTGTATCGTTGAAGTTAGTCAGAGTCGAGAATGATCACGACATGGATTTCGCGTCGATGTGAACTCCGAGGATGGCATTTCAATTAGATTGTGGTGAGACTCCAATCTGCTCCGATCTGTAGCGTCCGTAGGGCTGTATCATGATATTTTGTAGCCTGTGGCTTTACACTTACGGACCGCACGTGTTTGCACCTTCTATAGTCGAAGCGAAACAAGAATAACGTCCGCGCTTTAAAAAGAGAAGGAAGAAACATAACGAGTGTAGAGAGTGTAGCTGAAAAGAATAGATTTGTGATTGTTTGTGCCTTATTTTTAAAGGAAATTTATTTAAAACTTAAAGATAGATACATAAAGTAATGATTAGAAATATTTTTTACATAGAATTGTTTCACTGACGATAATTTGAAGATATAAAGTACAATATAATAGGAATTATTAGAATGATTTTCCAGTTTGATATTCAAAATAATTTATGATTTTGACTGATAACCGTCAACGTAGCTCATTAGCTGTGACATTGTCGAACGAAGGAAATATTTGTTGTTCTGTTGCAGTCAGTTACGACTTCATTTAATTATATATTGTTCTAGTGTATTCGACGAATCAATTTATAAACATTTTGTTAAAGTGCTTGTATTGATTATTTACAAGTAACAAAGGTAAATGAATTTTAAGTAAACTCTCCGATTTAAATAGGTTCGAATGCATGCTCTGTTTCGCAAGACGGAGCAAAGCAAGATGCAAACACGTGCCGTCATGATTTGGAGGTTATTCTATTTGATAGATTGGTCACTTTTTTGCAGGAGGCCTATCAGTTTCTGTTATATGTTATGGAGATGAAATTCGGAGCTTTGCAAATCCCTGATTTTGAAGAATTGAAGCAAGTTACAATAACCAAAGCATCTAGCTGCTCTGAATTGTCGTCTACTAATCAATTTTCACTACAACAAAAGTACAAGATTAACAACAGGCCTATTTTATTCAAACAGTACAGCAGTGAACAAACAATACGGTCAGTAGAAAAATACAGATCAGGTATTAATTCACTGATTTCCTGTGTTAGAGAAAAAATCATTATGTCTAATCATATGCCATATTAATCATGCTAAATTTTAATGTTTTTATTTACTCTTAACAAAATTTTATTTTTGTTATTTTATATGACTAATTAAGAACTTTTTGGAATAATTGTGGAATGGATCTGCACGATTGAAATTTAAAATCATAGTTTTCCAGAAAACATAGTTGAAAGGTATAAAAACAATTAAGCTTGCTTCAAATGTTTAAAATAGAAATAGAAGACATTTGTTAATCTCAAGTGACAAAACTTGCATTTATCTTTGACACTGATTATGGAATTTAGAAATCGTTTTAATAATTGACACGGTTCATGCACTGATTTCACGTAATCTTATTTACACATAAATAACATTCTCGAATTTATTATATATATTTTATAACAGTTATAAAAATGGAAAGAAATTGCTACGTTGCATAAATCATTAATGATTCATTATGTGAGAACTGTACTATGTATGATAATTATGTATTAATTAATATTTTTGAAATCACAGAGAAGTATTTCACGATAATATTTTTTAATAGTAAAAATATTGAATGATTAAAAAGTTCAGAGTGGATCATCGATAGCTTACGTGGAATGTGTTAGTAAAGTGTTTACTACCTGGAAAACTTCAATTCTTAGAGAATATTTTTTCATCTACAGAAATTAAACGAAATCAGGAAAAATTTGGAAAATCTAAAACTCTCAGGAAAATTTTTTTTGTCTAGAGAAATTAGAAAATTTTCTAGAAGGTTTATCAGGACTCAGAGAATTTTTATTGAAAATATCTTTTTAAGGATTTTTCTTTTGTGTGTAATTGACCAATTTATCATTTAATTTCTTTCAATACTTATTTAAATTAAAAATTTGAAATTTGAGTAATTTTTTTCAATTTATTTTAAATTTGCATATAAACAATGATGAAACAATCAAACTATCAGGCATTTTTATTTACAGCAATGTGGACGAAGCAAGAATAACGCCGGAAATTGCAGATAAATACGTGGAAAAATTGAAAATTTTCCATACTTATAATTACGATTTGGAATCTTACTGGAGCATGTCGCACAACAATAAAACACTATTCACATCCACGGCTAATGCGATTGTCAACGCTAGTAATCAAGTGGAGCATATGGAAGTGGAAGAGGAACTAGATTCTAGAAATCAGTTTACGTCAATAAAAAGGTCTGCCTTTGAAAATTCTTCAAAGTTAAACGAGTCTTTTCTAAAGCCGATTTCTACAAGTCAATCAACGTTAGCGTTGATGAACACGACCTTTGTCAACTTAGAAAAATCTGCAAAATTAAACAACGATGTTATAAAACCAATTTTTACCGAACAAAATTCTACAGAAGAGGACAATATAGAAAAAACTGATAAATCTAACAAGAAGCCGACAAGTTATCAGAGAATGAAAGAGAAAATGCGTCCACTCGTCAAAATGTCATCCTTAAATTGTCAAAACGCTACGTCGTCGAAAACAAAATGTTGTTCCTGTTCCATCTTTTTCAAAGTGTTCTTTTTGTTATTGCCTTTGCTATTCATTATTTTTGCGACAATTTTATATCACAATGACGATCATAAACATAGCAGTGATTACGTGAATGCTATTGCTGAATTGAAGAAAGAAATTTATGGCCAGGATGAAGCCATAGAAACTTTAATCGAGTATCTTGAATTGGATACACCTTCTTTGAAAGTGCTAGCTCTTGTCGGTGGCACAGGTGTAGGCAAAACGTACACAGTACAAATTATAAAGGAGAATTTTCCAAGGGAATATACTGTTCATCAATATTACCCGCCGATCAAAAATGTAAAGAGCATCAACTTTTCCTTTTTGTATCCAGACTTAATTATTTTAGAGAACTTGAAGGAACGCGATCTGAAGGATGTTGTAGACTTTTTGAAAAGACGCTCTGACGTGTCTAGTGATCGGTACGTTACTGTAATAGCTGTTTTCAACATCGAACAAATAGACGTTGATTTCACGCGTAGCATAGATTGGAATCATAGTCTTAACGTGATAGAAAATTCTTTCGCCGACGGAAATATCGATGTCAAAATCATTCCTTACGCCTCCTTGAGCGAGGACGCTTTAGAAAAATGCATTATGAAAGCGCTATTACACGGATATGGCGAACGGATGCTTTCCGATGAACAGATCAATCTTGTTAAACAATATCTGTTGACGAATAATGCCGGTTGCAAAGGAGCTTACAGCAAAATTCAGCTTGCTATAAACAAGCAGTTTGCTTGGTAGACAATAAGCAATGATTGTTCATAATTCTTTAACAAATGAAAAGGCTGATCAAATTATTGCACTGAGACTGAACTAACAACATTTTTTCTCCATTTATATAATATATTCTTGGTTACGGTATACAGTGATTGATAATTTTAAGACAATTCTGAGATAAATAGTTCCTATTGAACGAATATTTTTTGAACTTTCTTACTATTAGTTTGGCCGGAAAATAATTGCGATTCTGCAATTTTGAAACGTATTTTTAAATCAATTATTTCATTATATGCTTATTATTATATATCATTTAAAAGCTTATTTAATTGCTTTATCTAACTATGTTATTCGTTTATTAACAATATCAGTTTTGGTCAATTTCAGATTGTTGAAAAAATATGGAAAAAGATTTTCGGAAGATTTGTTTCTACGAGTTCAAGCTTGATCGAAGTACGGCACATACAGCTCGGAATATTAACAAAATGTCGGGGAAACCAGGGAAACGCTAACGAATGTACAATCCAGTTTTACTTTATAAAATTTCGTCACGGAGATGTTAGCCTTGAAGATCGTGAAGGTCGCGGACATTCTTTGAAGAACATGGTGGATGATCAATTAACAGGGGAGACCCACGAGTTTCTTCTTTCTTTCCAGTTGCTTTCAAATGTCCTTGAATTGTTGTTTTCTTTTTTCTGCAAGTTCTCACACAGGCTTCCACCAAAGCCTGTCGTTTACCAAAGAAAGTCGTTCGCGACCCTCACGATTTACAAGGTTAACGTCTTTATTACGAAATTTTTTCAACCAATCCGTTTTCCTTGCTCTATATTTTGTTGATATTCTGTCTGCGCTGCACTTGCCAAGGTTAAACTCGTATAAAAGAATCTTCCGAAAATTTTATTTTTTAATATTTTTTTAAGGGTCTGAAATTAAACAAACTGATAATATTAATAAACACGAATAATATAGTTAGGTAGAGCACGAAATAAGCTTTTAAATAATATAAAATAATCAATATATAATTATTATATAATATATAATAAAATAATTTATTTCAAAAAAACGTTTTATAAAATTGCAGACATCAAAACCACAATTATTTTCCGGCCAACATAATATTTTGAACCCTCGTAGACTTAAAAAGTTTATTTTCTTGCCGTCTCTTGATTCAAAAGATAATTTTAATTAGTGAAAAGAATCGGATTGTTAATTTCTCGGTGAAAGTTAACAACTAGTACGATTAGTTGTTGTAACAACCCGTTAGTCTGCGCTAAATGCGTGTCGAAATTTTTCATGCGCATAATTTCCGGGTGTGCCGAAGAAGAACGGCGATTTGTGCGAGAAACGATGGGTAATATTGCCTTACATATATCCGGCGAAACACATAATCAACGCGCGGTTACGCACAATTAAACGAACTCACGTTGATTAAGACTTTTTGTACACGTAATACTTTGCATTTTGTTTAGAACTTTCTTTCTGTAATCGCGCTCACGACGATTTATAAGCGAATGATCGCGATATTGCGTGCATTAAAACTTCGTGTAATGACACGTAATGCTTGAACCATAGGCGTTTCGCTATTATGCTACGTTGTTACCACCGATCATTCTTACGCAATTGAAAAGTTACTTGATTATTTCTTTCTTCTTTTTCCGGTAACTGCAAGTGGCTTAATTTCTAAAGTATAGATATGATTCTGAGGACTTTGCAGTCATATTGCTGTAAATTAGCATTCGAGAAAAATAAATAAAAGGAAAGATCTAAGTGCCAAATTTTAAAACCAAAATGTTAAAAGTAATATTTTTATATATTGCAAACATTAAAAATCTATCAATAAATTATGCTCCCCCCCCCCCACCCCATTTAAATGTAAAAGACACATATGTATAAAACTATTTAATTTTTAACTTTAAAACATTTTAGGATATCCCAAAAAAATTAAATATAATTATATACACAACATTATATATATATGTATATAAATATATATGATCATAAATTATGTGTATCTATATATATCTATATACATACATATATTGTCCGATATAACGACTAATAATATCACATATGGATTGTATATGTGATTTTATCAAAAATTTAAAAAACATATGTATATAGTCGTATTATATTTAAATGTAATTATATATATCCAACAATTTTTTTTCGGATATCTTTTAAAGGCGTACTTATTGAATTTGACGCTTCGAAAATATTGCTCAATCTTTTTTTTAATTTTATTTATAGTAATTATTTAGATTATGGATAAGTCAGAGCTGCCACTCCATATTCATAACTAAAATATTTATGATAAATGATTAAGCGCCAATTTCGCAATGACATGAAAAAACATTCTTCTTAAAGCAATATTTTTAAGTAAAATTTTTAAGTAAGGACAAATTAATTTGCGCAATAACAAAAAGTTATAAATATTTATAATTGAAGGAATTGGCGAAAAATGTACACCTCTTTGTGTGTTTAATAATTCGTTTGTTGTTAGCATCGATATTACAAGTTACGATCGACTAACAAATGCGAAAGTGAGCTTGTCTTTTTTACATAGTGGAATTTTGTAAATTGACTTTGTGCTAGTGTTTATGCATATGTTTCTAAAATATAAAATTACCCGATACTAAAATCGTTTATATTTCATTACTATAATTTGTTCACTGCTTCTTTAATTATTGTTATGTGATTTCCTTGCAGCGCAATTTCGAGGCGGATCAATCAATGCTAAAATTTTTGCTTCATGCGCACACGTAACGTTACGTCTTCATGATAAAAAGTATCTCTTATTTACCTCTTACGTTCACTTCAATGATGACGTAACCGGTCAGAAGTTACGTTCGTCCTGTAACGCGAGTATATTACATTATGTACTTCCAATTCGCCCCGTTATTCCATTTCCTTGAATGTCCCGTCGGGGAAATAGAAAGTCATGTTCCCGAAAACGATTAACTTATTATAACAATCTTAATATTTCCTCGGTCGGGTGACAGATGTTTCCTGTTTATTGAAACGAAACTCTTACCTGATAATCCTCTTCACTTCATTAAGAATGATTCATTAAGATTGATTCGCCGATATTTGCAAAAATCCTATTTGCGCAAAAAATGTTCGAAGACGACTACAAACGCGACTGACTAATTTTCAGCTTGACTACCGAACATCATTTTTTACATCCGTTTTGATGAAATCGAACGATAATTGCCCTCTTGGTTTAAGGATATTTCCTGTGGAACGATGTCATCAACTTAATTAATGTCATATTATTCTTCGTACAAACGACAATAAAATTGAACATTTCTTCGAGCGTCATTATTTGTGTCAGTTGTTCGTCAGAGAATTTACTGTCACACAAAGACACTTGGCTAATTGTAAATTGTTTAGCAGGCTTAAAGAATAGCATATTGTGAGATTTTTAATGTAAGATTTTTTTAACTTATTTACTTTTTGTTCTATAATATCTCATAATTATTATTCTGCGACAATAAATCAAATATTTTATGTAACTAGATCACAAAATACAAAACCACGATCATATTCGAGCAGAAAAAATTTCGGCGGACTAAGCGCGATCGTATTTATCCATCTTCGATGGACCGTTCGTCAACAATCAAGGCGATGTAGAAAAAACAGTCGGTTTCGGGACGGACGGTAATCCACTCATCGGAGGGATCGTTACGAAACTATCAGTGTGGTACATTATTCGTATCGACGATCTAAGTATCTATAAAAGAAAGTAGAAGGCTGGTAAACTGGCACACTCCGCGGGTTTCCGTGACGGACTTCAATGAAAAGTTTAATCGCGTTAAATTGGCGCCGAATCTGGAACAAAGGCGAGAACGTAGCTTTGTACCCCGAAGGATCTGCGAGTCTTTGCGAGGACACGTTCGTTCGTGAAGCGCGATTGGGAACGCTAGAGAAGAGGAAGGGCGCCGCTGGAAATTATAAAAGAGCGATCGACACATAAGAGTGGGGCAGTCGTTTCCAACTGTGCACCTGGGCCACCACGATCAGGGTACGCATAATCACATATAGGATATCTATCCAGAGTGCTCGTACGTAGATCTCCGACGCTTCAGCTTCGCGCGCTTCGTCAAGAGGCAAATTGAGTAAGCGAATATAAGATGGGGATTAGCTAACATTTATTAAAATTGGTCACTTTGCTCGATATATTTTATAACACACTGTTTTATATAACACTCTTCCAGTATACTTTTTCTATATCGTGAATGTCAGATTAAGAGAACTTCAATATTTATATTTCGATATTTTTTTAACTATAAATAAATAGAAATTAAAAGTTAATTAAATTAAAAATTCTAAAAATAGAAATATAAATAACAAGATCCGATCTTCAACTTACTTTTACTTCAATTTGCTTTAACAGAGCTTTAGTACGTTATTTAACAGTCAGAACACTTAATGCAGATAGGACACTTTTTCTAAAAGATCAAATCTAAATTGACAAAAATCTAGTTGTAAGAAATTAAATAACTTGCACAATATTCTATATAGATATTTTAGATATTTTTTACATTTGTTTTTATACTGCAATTTTAATGCATATTAGATTGCAAATTTAATTGTAAATACTTTTCAATGAACAGTACTTCTCTTTTACTTTTTTATGAAAACACATTTTGTTTATTTACTTAAAATATTAATATTTTATCTATCTAAATCACATATTAATCTATCATAATTTATGCTAATTATTAATTTCATTTAAAAGCCATAAGGAACAAGTGTCGTACTACAAGAATACAATAGTTGTCTGTGACGTTGGCTTTACGTTCATGCTAATCCGATCACGCTCACTAGAATAATGTGTAATTGAATCGGCCGACGCCACGTGAATTTTAATCGCACAACAATCTTTGAAAACTGCACATCTCGTCCTTGATTGTAAAGGTCGACATTACTAAAGGTCAGGAATATAGGACGTGAATTGTCATTCGTGCGAATTTTGAAGGAAATTCACGCGTTGATTCGACATTTCGCTTATTACACGCAAAATTAACTACAATCAAGCCAACTAGTCAAAAGTATCGTGACATAATCATTGTAATACGTGCAGGAGTCTTACGCGGGCATAATGTAATAGTTGCACGATCGCGCGTATCTTAATAGCGAGAGGTAACGTTAAGTCACACGCGGATCGGTAAAAATGAAAAAAATGATAAAGTAGATACCGGCGTGATGCAATCGACGTAATGTATTCTCATATGAAAAAAGCTCTTACGAGCGTAATCGCCGATGAAAGCTCGCGGCTAGTAATACGATAAGTGGCACTTTCTACGCGGAAGAGAATAGCTCCCTTAACCAGCTCCTCATCATATAGCAGAATAGCGTTGATTGCGCGCATAGACGCACGATAGTGCGATTACGCTCGCCGACTTAAAAGTACGGGACTGACGTAAGATACAGTCTTTGACGTGGCCGACGATCCGGCAATCATTATTCTTTGTCTATTAGTCTTCTCAAAACTGTCATGTGTTCTACAAGTCATAGCGTTCGATACGCTACATATTTACATATTTAATCATGAGAATTATATAAAACTTGCAAAAGGCGGCTAATAATTTAGGGATATTTAGGGATATTCATAGGTAACATTTTATGTCATATTATGATATCACCACGATTGTAACTAATGATATTACTGTAACTTTTTGATAATGTCACAGTGACATCACAATATCCATAAATATAAATTTTATATTTAAATATTATATATATTTATATATATATATGAATATTCATAAATGTATCTACATCAGCGTATATCGTATGTATATATGTTTGATGTATATACATGAAATGTACATGAGGTATATTCTGTGTATATACAGGCAGCGATCTTGTTCGAATATACATTTTATGTATGTCCACACGATGTCCTACGAATATCCCTAAATACACGTAAATTTATGTATATTCTATGTATGTACATAGTATATACAATACGTTTTTTCCACATTATGGATATTCCATGTGTATACATAGGATATTGAATGTTTACTGGAAGGCGAGACTTTCGTTTACGCTGTCTGTCATTAGACCGTTTCTCGCGTGACGATGTAACTCTATAGATATTACGTGTCATAAACTCTTTAGGTTCGAAGTTTTATCGTATAATTCCATCTTATGATAAGCAAAAGCGATATCGCAGCAATGTTATACAATGTTATACAACTCTAATTGCCAATTTGTTTCGGAATGCGGAGACTTGTGGTTGAAGAAGTAAAACAGAGCGCGCGCGTGAACACAGAAAATAAAAATCTTGCGGCAGTAAGCACATCTAGAAAGGAGCGAACAGGACTATAGTGAATAGATATATTCATTGTGAAATCGTTCTCGCTACGCAACGGGTGGTGTTTCAGTTTCTTAAAGATGTTTCACATTCTTTCCCACATTTTTAACCGCTTCATGTTGCAAGGCGAAGAGAAATAAAGTCACTATTACCACAACAGCACCCCTGAGACAATAACATAATTGTAAAGCAGTAGCAGTCAAGTAACTCAAACTAGATGATAATGACACTTCTTTCGGGATTGTACGCGACGCGGTTTATTTTGAGGAACAAAGATGGGTGAACAACCGATTGCATAATTGGAGAAAGCGATTGCGAAACGGGCCGGTGCATACATACAGCCGATGCTCTGACTCAAGCGCGATGAAACACTCGCTGTACCACCCGGCCACGCTAATCGTTATGTCACGACTGACGAAAGGCTCGAGAATTTCCGTATGATCGGTCGCCTCACGTAACGCAACTAATCTGCTCCTTCTTAAAGAAAAGAAAAAGATAGTCGCATTTCTTATGTTCGCCGTGGCCGTCACGACTTGAAGAGAAACCAGGTCAGCCGGTCAGTAGATTTTATCTGATACAGAAGAAAGTGAAAACCGGCATCATTTGCTGTATAATTAATGAAAGATTGTTACGCAAAAATAAATGTTTGTCATCTATCAAATTTAACGCAAAAATTTAAAAATGATTATATTCTTATTTTAAGACTTTAATTTACGTACACGAGACACTTAAGAATTTTATGTTTCTTCAAGCAAACACGTTTTTTCTCGTTAAATTTAGCATATATTTTATCCTTTCGAAATTATTGTTATTACCTTTGAATAAAATCGAGGTCTAGAGATTATAATTTTCAATTTTCGGGAGATATATTGAGGGGGGGGGGGAGATATTTTCGGGAGATATGTCACATTATGACGTTTTCAGGTCTTTATAGATTCAAATAGATTGACAGGCGTTTCTTGAACGAAACCAAAATGGGAGGAGCTGAGTGGGTAGCCGATGAGTATGATTACGAGTGCACCCTCTCAAAGGAGACTCAGAAAGTGGCCAAGGATGAACTGAGAGAAGACAAGAACACCAGAGATCAAGCTCTCGAGCAGATGCGCAATTGGATTAAAATGAATCCGCGCATTGAAAGTTGCCGTCTCGGTGAGATCACAAGGCCAAGTAGTAATCAATTTATAAATAGCAATTACGTATTGGCGCAAAAGTATATTATTTTGCCAAAAGACCTGAATGCTAAGTACAATAATTCATATCGTTCATTAAACAATGTTTAAATCTGTTTAATTTAACATTATAATTACAGCCTATAAAATTATTATAATTAAAGTACTTTAAAAGATAATCACATATTTTAAGGGGAATTCTAGAAATTTTGGTGTGTGTTATGTATCGATAATTAGACACTAGGCATTAATATATCATATCTCGTCAGATGCACGATTCTTACTAAAATTCTTGCGATGCAAAAAGTTTAATGTACCGATGGCGCAAGAAGCCACGGAAAGATACTTGTTACTCCGTCAAGTGTATCACCCAGCATTTAGTAATCTGGACATCTCAGAGCCTAGCGTGGAACGCTTACTGTCATTGGGGTAAGTATTTTTTACTATTAATTATCTTGTTATTGTTGGAATTTGTTTTACAATTTTTTGTTTTAGATATCTCTTTGCTGCACCTGGCCGTGATACAAAAGGCCGTCGCGTAATAATTGCTAGACCAGGTATATCATTTACATACTAAGCGCTGAGCATTGCATATAAATCTAATATACGCGTATAAAGTATATTTAATTTATTTAATTATATATATTTGATATATTTAATTTAAGATAAAGCCAAATTCTAATGTCTAATTCTACTTTTGTTTATTGTAATTATATATATTGACCATATAAATATTATCTCACGATAATAAGTATAAATAGAAAGCATGTAATGACAAACACGTTATATTTACGTAATTCTGTTGCAAAAGTTACTTAGATCTATATCATTATCGGCGCCTTTGTTCCATCGCGTTTATTTTATTATGTTACTAATTATTTGTATAATTCTTATTTAAGGTGTATTTGATCCTCACAAATATACGAACGTGGACATGTGTAAAATTCATGCTTTGACTTACGAAACGCTAATGGAGGATGAGGAAAATCAAGTACGTGGCTTCGTACACTTTGCCGACGGTGCCGGTGTCAGTTTTCCTCATTTGACGCTATTTACTCCGAAGGAAGCTGTGCGCATTGTAAAAAACGGCGAGGTATATAATTAAATATCGTGCAATTTATGAATCAGAATCTGTAAAATTTAACTTTTTAATTAGTAAGTTTGCAAAAAATATCACAAACAAAGAAACATTCTTTTAAAATTTTTTTTAATTTATTTTTATTTACATGTTTTGAAAAACTTTAATTTATACAGTGTGAAAATGTTAAACAGTGTCAATATATATCATAATTTTTCACACTATTCATTATTATAAATATTTCATTACTTCAAAACTTCTATCTTCTAATATTTTTCTCAAATATTTCTAAGCTTATATGTAATTTTTAAATCATACTAAATGTACTAAAAGTAATGTCAAACAAGTAAACCTGTTTCACTTTTCACTATTCATCATTAATTAAATTAACAAGCCTTTGCATGTATGAGTATCTTTAAAATCTTGACGACGACGGTTTTCATCATTACCTCGTTTTTACAACATCGACGCATAATCAGCTTCGCCTAGAAGTTCCTCTTACCAAAGAGGTCATGTAACGTAAATTTCACAATGCTATCTAAACTATCGCAGACTTAACAGGTTTTTTGACATTATTTCTTTTGCAGAATAATTCAACGGTGAAATTTCACAAAAAAAGTTTAATACCCTATTAAACAAAGGTTAAAGAAAGTTTTATAAAGAATTGAAAAATTGGATAAAAACCAAGATAGATTTATTTGAATGAATCGTATAAATTCATACAATAAAAGTCAACTTTAATGTTTTATCGGTTTATCTTGAAACTGAGAACTTGAAAAAAAAGAACTGCGAAGGCGATTTCGAGTTTTACTGATATTACGTGTCGCAATCAATTTCAGTAGATAAATTCCTAATAGGAAATAATTCTCTTCTAAATGAAAAAATTAGGATAAGTGATAGGAGTAAGTGATAATTCTTTTAGCGCACCGTACCAATGAGACATAAGGAAGTCCACGGGATCAATGTTCATCCCTCCTTGAAATTTGCTTTGGATTTCGGGATGTCATTGATTTCCGAGAAAATTAAGAGTCGCATAAAAATCTACACGAGCCTCGAAGACGCTATTAACAACAAGATGGACGTTAGCATGCTGCCTAAAGAGTACGGCGGCACTATTCCCATGAAGGAAATGATCGGTAATTCATTGGCTTGATTGTAACTTTCAACTCTCGTTTCACCTTTTAACTCTCCACTTTCTTTTGATGATCCATTTTGATATAGATCTATGGCGAAAAGAACTGTTGGAAATTAAACCCACATTATTGAATAACGATAAAATGAAAGTGCGTCTCGAGTTATACTCGGAGAAGGCACGAGAAGGTGCGGTCTCCGCATTGAAGCAGGGTTTCGGCTGTTCCAGCGTGGGGTCCAACGATTCTACAATGTATGGCATAACCGGATCCTTTCGGAAGCTCGAAGTTGATTGATGTTTTGCTTGCTTTCTGCCAAGCGTGATTTCTATGTAGAAATAAATGGCACGGGATTGCGACGCAATCTGGTTTGGAAACTATATGATTATAGATTAATACTGGTGTTCAGAGGATGTAATTTTATTTTTGTATCATGTAGATAATGTATTAATTGATATGAGTTGTTTGAAAATGCACTATACGTATATATCAAATATTGTACATAATTTTTCTAACACGTCACAATTAAATGCATCAAAAACAAAAGCATAGTCTCATTATTTTTTTCCCGTCCCAGAAATCGCAAACAAAAACGTTTGCAAAAAAATTCTACAAAAACATTTATGACGAAAGCCACTCTCTAATTATGTCGCGAATCTTTTCTCTCGCGTTCTTCAAGTCAGGCGTGTCCGTGAGTTCGTCGTTGTAAAGATCGCGGCAATGCGAAGATCCTGTGTAAAAAATGATATTGTTATATTATTGTTTTGCGTTATGGAAAATGCAAAATTCTAATATATTTTTAATTTATTTTTTAACTACCATTAATGAAAATTGCAGGGGAGAAAGTGTTTAGGTCTTTGAGTACCGACAACGCATGCCATGGATCGATATCGCCATTCGTAAAAATAACATTTCTCAAATCTGGTAGCTGCCCTCCATACATTATATTCGTCCGTTTAACGCGTGAATCTAATATTTTTTTGTTATTGCTGGAATTAATTATTATTTTTAAAATTATTATTGATTATAATTTTTCAACAAAAAATAACTTGATATTCTTTGAAAAATTACTTTACATGTTTTCGAAAATCTTGCGAGAAAGTAAAATGCAGTTATTTGTATATTATACAATTTTTATATGCGCTAAGGCTTGCAAATACTGTTGTTACAAAGTATAAACGTGAGAATACATGAGAGATTAAGCGAGAAAATATTATACCAATTATCATTAATGTACTTACTAATCGCCGTACAAATCGGTACACAAGTTGATATAATAGCTCAGCGGAAACAGCGTTCCAAAGATTGAGTTCTTCGAGTTTGTTGTCTGATAGTAACCATACTCCGTGCAAGTCTGATGATACCACTGCCTCACTGTAAAATATTAGCTTTTGTTACACAACATGTTGTTACTGTTTAATTTATTCTGTTAGCTAATCGGTTCAATTTACTGATACTAATCGCTGCCGGCGATTCCCATGAAGTCTCTCGGTATTGTTTTATGAAATTATTATACTTCACATCGAGACACTCATTCTGGTTTGAGACGACATGTGCAAGTCTCTGCAAAGGACTGCCTAAATGCGTTGCTGTCATATTCTTGCACAACATCGAGATTTGTGTTTCGCCGTTCTCAGTCACTCTATCACCCTGAACGGTTCCGGCGAATACCTAATTAGAAAGAAATTTCTAATTAGAATAGTGAAATAATCAAAGCAATCTTGCAATAATAATTATCTACGCACCTCCGCTAATAAATTCATTAAGTAACCAAGATCACTCGAGGACTTTACATCAGGCACATCGCAAAAGCTAGAATCATTAAAAATAAAATTATTATTTCTAATTTTTTTAAATTTTACTTTCTTTATTTTATTACGATTGTATCACAATTTTAACAAGCTATTTACGAATTCGAACAGTTAGTCTCACTTGAAATAAAGTTTAAGTTTTTGAGCACCATCCTGCGTAGTCAACAATTCCTCTACTGATTCGAATGCAGTCTTTACATCTTCAATGCATTTTTCACTGTATCTACCGAGCGATTTCGCCACGACCTCATAGTATTCTAAAAAATAAAGTATTTTAAAATAAATAGTATTCTAATAAAATAAATTTCTTTTAATGATATTTGTAAAGAATAATTATAAATTTAAAAATTTACCGTAGAAATCAGCCTTTGCACGGACTGGAGCACTGCTGGCCAAAGCACCCTGTTAAAAAAATATTTTGTTTTATTTCATTTTGTTTATTTCTTTTTTTTTTAATCTAAAAAAATACTTGAATAAGATGAGGATATTTAAGCCGTGCCCATGCTGCCATATTTCCAGCGTAAGAACCTCCGAATACTATAACAGGACTCTTTTCCAAATTTTTCTCTTTCTTCTTCGTTTCGATGAAATAAGCAAGATCAGCGAGTGCCTGATCGACGTTCAAGTACTGCAAATTTGCTGTGCTGGTATCCCTAAATTTATTTTATACAATACTGCTTTAAGAAACGACTCTCAATTTAGAGTAATAGAGAGACATTATGAATTATGTACTTTGTTGGTCTGCTCTTTCCATAAAATCGATGCTCGGTGTAATACATCAAGGCGCCATACGTGGTTGCAATTTCGTGCATCAATCCACTTTGCAAAAATCCTTTTGATATTTCCCATTCTCCACCGATCATGATGAGAATAGGACCATTTTTCTTCAGAACCGCAGAATTCTCGTAATAACGCTATAGAATCGAAATAAGTATATTATTCTCAAAAACGATGCATTTTGATTAAAGATAAATAGTTGTATAACGATAATTACCATCGACCAAGTGTGATTATTTCGGTGGTTGAAGTGATCAAGGGGTTGAATAATCCAACCCTCAATTACATCTTTGTCTGCATTTAGTTTAAACGATACCGGCTCTTTCAGACCTTTATAAGTGAACCCGCGAAAACCCACTCCATTCACGAGGGGATGGATTGAGCACAAAACGAGCAACACGTTTAACATGATCATGATTCGAAATGTAACGCACAAAACGTTCGTTCAGCTTTTAAAGCGCGTTAAACAAACGCTGCTAAATGTGACAAACACTGACTGATATTCACAACTTCCTTCAATTATGAATCGAGATAATGGCTGATATGATATCTCTCATCAGTCGATAACATTTCAGTCGAAATTTTTTGAATTATTCAAGTGAAATAGACAACAATACATTAATGAAATAATCGCGATTAATGATTATGAAATATCGAGAGCTTGATTGATTGATTAAAACACGGAATATCGCTCGGCAAACACAGATGCGAATCTTTATCTCGCGATAAGAAGTATCATGATTAAATGCACAAAGTGATATTTAAGATATCTCATGCAAAAATATTTAATCTGTTATTACCAATAATGTTTTAATGGATTAAGACGATAGGAAGAAACACTTTGTTATAATCCATTAATTTTTTTAAATATTTATTTTCATATTTATGTATAAACGTTATCTTATTTATATCGTACATCTATTCAGATAAAATTAAATAACAGTCAGAATCACTATAATCAACATCACAATAGTTGAATATTTTTATACTGTATGGCAAAGTACCGATACAAAATATTGTTCTTTTTCATTTAATCGAGTTTGAGATCCTGTCATCATGAGATAAAACTATTTTTGGTATTAAAACTAAATCGCCTGCTGACAATTCAGTTTTACAGTCTATATCTTTGGATACTCTCCAAGAATATCTCCTCAAATATTTTCTTCTTACAAACTTGTCATTTTTAAATGACTTTCGTCATTTTTAATTCTTTTTCCTACAAAGTTCGTGGCCGTTTTCATGGTGGTTTCTCCTTTTAGATTCTTTTTTATGCTTTTTTGAAGAGCGATGTATTAATGCAACTTCTTCATCGCTGTCTTTGTCGGTGTGAGCTCTCTTGCGTGAGCGCGGTTGACATTGTTTCTCGTGCGACATCGCGCTCTTCGCACTCGATTTTTTACTGTGTTTACGATTCCTTTCGCATGAGGATTCCCGCGACTCTTGATTATCTTTTTCCGTTGGTTGGAAGCGTTTCTTCTTCAAACTTTTCACGCGTTGATTCAGTTCGATCTCGGGAGATTCGGACCATCTCCAATTGCGGCTTTCTCCACCACTGTCACGACCGGATTCTTCCCACTTAGATTTTTTTCTAGTAGAAAAATAAAAAAAGTTAATTAATTACATGGCATTAAATTAAAAAGTTTATCAAAATCTTAATCTTTTGATAGAATATTGTATAAATTCCATTTATTGTTAATTTTAAAATTAATAATAAATAGAATTTATACAATATTCTATCAAATACCATATATATATACATCCAAATATATATAGTATATTTTATAAAAAAAAATAAATAACAACGGCTTACTTATGTTTCCTTCTGTCGCTACTCGTCAAGTCTCGAGGAATGGACAGTGTCCTCGACCAGCGAGTTGAACTTCTAAAACCGTATTTATCCTGCGGATTTCTGAAAGGATGAAGAAAATTGCAGGCTCTGTAGCCCTTTGGGCATTTAGGCATGCCGCAAATGGCATTCTTCCAAGACGTCCAGTTGACAAACTCGCAATTGAGTTTCTTGCCGGCGTACCAGCGTCCATTCAGATTTCTCCAAGCCCTAGCCGCCTCCCTTTCGGTATGATATTCGACGTACACATTACCGCGCAAGTGAACTTCAACATTGCGACAGCATCTGAGAGTCTTAATTCTGCCGAACGATTCCAGTTCAGATATGACGTCTTCATAGAACTCGCGAAAGTGATTTTGCGTTTCCGAATGTTCAAATTCGAGGGCTATATCGGTATCGTATTCTTCTGAATTTTTCTCGAGGGAGAAATGTGAATAAAATCCGGGTATCATAATTATCTTGTTCAGGAAGAATCTACGGTGATTTTTGGAACATATATCTCCAAATCTGAAAGCGTTAATTATATTTATATAATAAATTATATCTATTATCATAATTTATTATAATATCATAAATTACATGTATCTTTTTTTATACCAACCGGCAACTGTTTGTTTTAGCAAAAAATGGACAGATATCTTTGCCAGGTTGGCTATCGATGACCTCTCGCAAAGCTTCGGGCGTTTTTATTCCATTATCGATATAATTGTTAATTTCTTTCTGCAACTCTTCCTCCTTTTGAAGCTGTTCTTCGTACTTCCGCTTTTCTTTTTCTTTCTTTTTTCGCAGTATTTCTTGCCTCACCTCAAATTCTTCACGTAGTTTCTGTTGTTGCTCGAATTTCTCTTGCATTTCCTTCGCTTTTTGTTTCTGAATAATTTGCCATTCCTTTTGCGCTCTTATCTTAATTAAACAAAAGAACAAATGGAGACTTAATTATTTATAATGAGAAATTACTAAATTATCAATAATTTATTTTAAATTTACATACAAGAAAGAATATTTTAACATTTGCATAAATAATCATGATTGAGTGAATAATTGCTACATTGATAATTAATTGTTAAGTATTATATAAAAATATATAAATAATAATTTCTTTTGGATTAAATTTTTAAAATACATAAAAAAAAAATAATTTTTTGTTAAATTTCAACTTTAATTTTATCCTACAATTTTAATTTATCGAAATGTTGGATATTAAATGTGAAAAAAACTACAAGACAATATCAAAAGTCAATAAAAAAAATTCTTGGTCAAGAAAATATGTAATATTATATGATTATAGGCGCATTTATTACCTCTTCTTCCAGCCAGAGTTTCTCCCGTTCCGCGCGTTCCTTCTGTTCCCGCGTTTCCTTTTCCTTCTCTTGTTCCTCTTGATCTGCGCGCCATTTTATATATACTGCATCACGCTCCAGTGCTGACCTCAAACGTTCTTCATTAGCAACGCGATCGCGTGCAGCTATCTGTCTAAGTCGTCTGCGACGCTCCTTTTTCGCGATTTGACGCCATTCTTTATGTCTGAGTCTTGTGGAGTTTTGTTCCTCCATCTTCACACATCCTCACGAACAACAGGAGATACGCTCAACAATATAATACTCGAAGACGATTACGTTGAACAGCTGATCAACTATCGGCGTCAATGTATCCACGCATGTCTCCGCCATACTGTTTTCTGGCTGCACGGAAGATGCAACGATCATCAATACAAGTTTCTAGGAAATGAAAGAATAAAATTATTTGGAAACTAATTACAAAATGTGATATTGATATTTGGTGCAGTATCAAGTCTTGTGTTAATTTTGTATTAAATGTGTGGAGATTGTATTTTTTTTGTTACATATATTAATGTGAGATTTAAAAAAATATAAATTACTGATGTTATACGAAAATCGATATTATCGAATATTCGATAATGTTACATTTTTATCTTATTTTTAATTATATAATGATATAAACCTTCTGCAGATACAAACCAATGCAGAATGCAAATCTAAAAATAGCACAGAAAAACATGTTCACAATGTCATCAAAAGATGGAGTTACTATTATCAGTTCCGCACTGATTATGAATTATGAAGATCCATATAATTCAGATGTGTGTGTGTGTGCATAAATTCATTTGTAAAACTTAAATTTATTAACATATGACCGGTTTTCTTGCTATACTAGTAGTATTACAACTTTTAGGAGTATGTTTTATTTTAAATCCAATTGATATTTTTTACAGAAATAATATCTGTATATTTCTTATAAACATTACTATAAGAACAACTAATTATCTATGAATATTAGTTAATCTTTAAATTAAATATAATTTATAATAATATTTTGCCTAATGTCTTAAATAGTCGAATCTGCCAACAAGTAAGCAGTTTTGTACAAATTTTTATATTATGACATCACGTTAAGTGCAACAAGATGTGAGATTCTTTTCGTTTATTTTACGAAATACATAATTAATTTTTTTGATGACCAAGCTCAATATTAAACAATAATAAAATTACTTACTTAAAAAATGTAATAAAATATGTGTAATACACAATTGTATAATAAATTTTATTTCTAAAAATATAGTGTTGTACATTTTATAAATTACTAATAAGTCTATTTATTCATAACTTGCGCCCACATGTCCTTTTTCTGCAGCCTGTTTGTCGGATTGTTACTTAATTTTTGTATAAAAGACGAGCATAATCTTGCTTCTTACGCTCCTGAACAGATACCGTTGCTAAACAGGGGGATCGTTGAACCGGTAAGGTAAGGTGGAATCGTGGCCGTCATTCCACAATAGGCCTCCAACAGACCAAGTCCGAGAACAGCGAAGAATTATTACGTGCGAGTAATTTCGATTTTGCTGTGAAACAGTTTAATTTTATCTGTAAAACAATTTAATTGTATCTGTAAAAATGCATAAATAACGACGACGCAACAGGATACGTGCTCTTCATGTGCGGTACCGTAATTTGTAAATAGAAGGATATGATATCGAGGCGATCGTCCACGTCAAAATGAACAGTTGATTTGACACTTCGGAAGATATCATGGGGAAAGCGAAGGAAAATAATTTGAAAGTTGAGAGGAGCGAAGATGTGACAAAAAAATCAAAACTCTGGGCTTATTTATTGTGGTTGTTTGGTGGGCTTTTCGGAGCACATCATGTATACATTGGCAGGGACGATCAGGCATTTTTGTATATCAGCACGTTCGGTGGCTACTTGGGTTTCGGCTGGCTCAGAGACATTTATCGGATACCCTCGTATGTGGCCGACGCGAACAATGATCCGGTGTTCATCGAGGATTTTAAGCGAAAAGTCAGAGCTAATCGAAAGGTAAATAAATATCCGGCGCACGTTTGAAATTCTTGCTGCGATAAATGATTGATATTTTCAGTTTTGAAATACACGGTCTTTCGTAATACACTGATTCGCGTAAATGCACCTTTGCTCGCTATTATTGCTATCGGTATTCGAAAAATTGATGACGTAGTGTAACACGATCCACGCTGGCGTAATAAGATTAAATATTTAGTCGAAAATTATTTGTAAATTCGCAGCAAGGACGTTGAACGTGAGGAAGTTTGCGGACGCAAATACAACTTGACTGACCTTATAGATCGATGATGAAATCGAACTTGTTGCTTACAGCCGCCGTTTTCTACGATGCGATTTACAGCGGAAGTCGCCGTCGCCTATTTATGGGCCGAACTGTATATTAATGCAATCCCGCAGGAAGAAATATATGGCATTAATTTCAGGCATTTGTTAATTCTTGTACCAGTTGTTATCGCGTTAGGTAAGAATCGTGCTAGATACAAGAAAAGCTGAAAGGTCTTTGAATCAATTATTGATGATGTGTCACATTTTCTTATCGCGCGCTTGCTGTAAATTACGAATGATAATTTTAAGGTCACAATGCGGCATTGAACAAAAATATAACATTACCTTGTTAAAAGATAGTCTTTCCTACAAATTTTGTTTAAAAGTTTTATTTGGAATATATTATATTATCTTCGATTTAAAAATCTTTTCTATTAAATCAAAATTCTGATTTTCTCAATTAAAATGTCAATATTACTGTAATATGTCGTTTATAATTAAAAAAGACAAATTATATAGATACAGTTATTTCAGTGAAATATTATTTAATATTTCAATAGGTATTTGGACGGTTGGAAACGTTGGTAGAGAGCGGGGTTCGATATGGGCGGCACTTATCGTCGCTTACCTGCTGTATCCCACCTTGTATTACATCGGCGATGATACCATGTGGCTCTTCTTGATGATAGTCGCCTCAAGTCTGAGTTTCGACACTTTTAGCAAACAATGGCGATTGAAGCCAAAAAAGAAAAAAAGTTTTATGAAACGAATGACAAGTTTAGCTTTAGCGCTTACGCTTTACTTTGCCGTAATCTGCAGTTATTTGTATTTCAATGCGGTTGTCACGGATAGCGAAGGTGAGGAAATCAAGTTGTCGGAAGCGATTCAGCATTTCCTCACTTCGCCTATATGGACGGATCTCAAGGTAAATCTATAATTTGTTAAATTCTGAAAATTTTAAACTAACTTTAACTTCTTTTATATGCCAATGTCTTCATTATGTCTAGGCAAGTCTGGAAGCTACGTGGAATCAGGCAAAACACCAAGGCTTCTGGGCAACTTGGGCGGCATTGGTGGATCTTACAGATCCACGAGGTGAAATAAACGCTTATAAGGTCCGGTGGTTGCTCGCAAAATTTTATCAAATTTTATCGACATATCGCTCCTTAGGAAGTTAAACAGTTTAACTAACACGTTATTATTTTTCAGGTTTTGGATCTCTCGCAAACCGCATCGCAAAATGAAGTCACGGCACGATGGAGAATTTTATCTAGAGACAATCATCCTGATAAAGTTAAAGGATCGGAAGAGGAGAGACGTAAAGCTCAGGAAAAATTCATGGAGATTCAGCAGGCGTACGAAATTCTGTCGCAAGCCAAGAATCGCAGGAAACGACGGAATCGTCGTTCCGACGAATAAGCCGTGTCCACTTTTGACTCGAAAAACAATAAAAGACAAAAAGATCGATGAAAGATTCTTCATTATCGATCTCCATATCCGAAATATAGTACAATAATTAACGCAATCAAAACACATAAATGAATGATAAGACATTTATTTAAACAACCATCAGACAATAACTGTATATAAAATCTTGTACGTAAAACGCGTATTGTAAGTTGGAGGGAGACTTGCGATCGTCGTGACGATCGCAAGCTCGCCCGATCATTTTTAACCGATAGAATCTCTAGATCGCTTCGGCGCATACTTTAAGATACACATTTGCATTTTTCAAGAAAATTGAAATTTTATTTACAAGTAAGACGATGAGGATAAAAGATTCGGTGGATCTTTTAATATGAATCGTCCGATGTGACCACTCTTGGGCGCAATTTCGCCGATCTCTTGTAAACTGCGATCGCGCTGTATTTCGCTCCGCCACACCGTACGATCCATTATAAGTCTAAACTAAAAATAAGATTTGATCATCATGAATGTTTGCGCATCCGGTCGTGCGTTGGTGGTTTACACCGAAAACAATCTCGAATACGAGCCATAAACATGACAACATTTTAAGCAGCTGTTCGCTGGAAGTCATGATTTATCGGAAGCGATCGGATTTCGAAGGTCTTTCTTTTTAATCCTCGTGAAAACGTCCTTTGAGAGAAATGCATCGCTAATAATTCTTCTGTCGAGGTAAAAACGAAAAGCCTACAATCTATTTGAAGGACCGCGGCTCCGGACGACGATCGGCCGATCGGTTTTTACAGGCAACAGTGGAATTGAATAACACGTAAATGATCTCAAATAGATCACAAACACTCTCTTCATCTCGCTGCTTCTGCGTCAAGCAGACTTGCGTAATCTCCGTTCGCGATTGTTCAACGCGAAGCGGGCAACTAAACGCGGCTCTTAGTCGCGCAATTTTTACATTAGACTACTTGCTTTTCTTTTTCGAGCGCGGCGGCTTTGCGATGGAGTTCTCAATTTTATCTGTGAAATTTGTGCTGTATTTTTCCGAGGTCTTTTCCAAGAAGTCTTGTGGTGAAACCAACGTCACCCTAGAAAATGGCACAATATTTTTTGTTTTGAAATTGCACATCAGAATTATTTGTTATTTAGCATATGTAATTTAAAGAGAATTATTAATTTCTATAAGAAATTATACTTCTTTATTTCTATATAGAAATTGTATTTTTATCGTTGCGATAGATTTTGACGCACATCTGTGAGCGTCAAAATGATCAAGAACAAGCCTGAATGAGGGACAAAAGTATTGTTAAAAAAGGTATAAAGAATCCAAAAACCCTTTAATGACATATTTTTGTCGCGCAAAAAATCTATATTCTATATAAACGATATAAGTTGCGCCTACGTTTACAACTTTTATACTGCAATTTTTGGAATTAAAATTTCAAGTAAAGGAAAGCTTTAACTTTCCTTAGTTAAATTTGCCGACGCGAAAACTCTGTACAAGCAGTCCAGCTTTACCAAAATCATTATTTATAAAAAGCTGCGAACATTTATTATACCTTAATCGGGTTCAGTAATCGCAGCAAATTTTTCACAGGTAATGATTTCGGTAATTAATAACCGGATTGTTCCGCATCGGTATACCGATGAGGAAAGAGAACGATGTTCAAAATCGAAGATTTCTTTCATATACTTTTTTTCGCTTATAAAAATTATATAATTAACGTTTGCATTAAAGAAGTATAATTTATAAATTATGAAAACTTCAAGCTGAAAATGCTGCGGAAAACTTTCTTTACTTTTAATTTTAATTTGCCAAATTTTGTTGTATAAGAGTTGTTAACTGCAAACGTTAATTACATAATTTTTATAAGCGAAAAAAAGTATATGAAAGAAATCTTCGATTTTGAACATCGTTCTCTTTTCAGCAGACAATATCTCGTAAATTCTACGATCATCTCTGCACTCACACATCTGCCGCAAAATTTCGCTCATTTTTGACCCTATCTAAATATATATTTAAGTGAATAATTAGACTTGCTCCAATTTATGTATATATTTTTTAATCATATACCTTTGTAATGACAAAAAATAATAAGAATTAAAAAAACGCAGATATTGGAGCGCAAAAATATCAAAATAGCCTTTTTTGTTGTTTTTTTTTTCTTTTTGTAAAGACCATACGTTACATTATTGTTGTATGCAGAATATCATACCTTAATTGAGGTACACTCAGTGGTCGCAGCAGACTTTTCACCACGGGTGACGGTTTCGGCAAGGCCGGACTGCTCGCGCAGAGAGCCGCGCTGGTAAGTTGCGACACGAGAGAAAAGGTTCGATCAGGGCTGGAGGTGGTGCGAAAAACTTTCCTTATTTTCGATTTCAACCCCGAGGGTTGCGGCATAGGAGCCGTAGGTACAGGCGTCACCTACGTAATTTACATAGAATTTATATTTTCTGCGTGAAAGAAGCGTCCGAGTTAGAGGAAACTTTGATTTCTAACATACCTTTCCTTGTAATACTTTCGCAGCCAATTCAGGCTCGCTACCCCAACGGCAGGACGTTGTCCTCTCTAGCAGACGATGTCTCGCGAATCTCTCGATCATCTCGGCGCACACATATCTGCCGCAAAATCTCGCCCACTGTTCGGCCCTTAATCCTCTACCATGATCACGTAATGTAGGATTTGCACCTGGAAATTTATGAAAGAAACTTTTAAAACGACGTGTGTACGATAATATATTTTTTTGTATAATACAATGATTACAATAAATTACATTTATAATTATTTATTTATTTGTTTATCATTATTTTGCAATAGTTAAAATTTAGTACAGATTTTACGAGACTATTATTTAAATTATCAATTAATAAATTAAAGTTAACATTAGCTTTCATTAAAATCAAGTTGAATCACTCGAACTTACCGGCGAACAAAAGAATCTTTGCGCATTTTGTTCTACCTTGAAGGGCTGCCTTCATAAGTGGCGTGAAGCCTAAGGTATTTCTTGCGTCCACCTCGATATCCGGACATCTCTGCAGAAGGATGTTGAGGCATTCGGTCTGTCCTGTCCGCAAACACGTAACAAGAAACATGTACTGACATCATCGGCGGCGGTTTTCTCGCACGCGTGCGATATTTCATAACTCCCGATATTTTGGCTCAAAACGTTTTTCGGCACGCGTCATCGCAATGTGCTGCTATGTTGTGCGAAACGCTTCAACGTTCTCGCTATTTTCGGCACTTGTGACGCGATGGAATCCTCATATCGGCACGAAAGCTCCACCGGCAAATTTGGCATTAGATCGCGTTCTGCATCAGTATTTTCTGATGGCCCTTATCGTCGCTTTGTATTGTATATTATTCTCTTAGATAAAATCTGACAAAGGAAAGATCAAGATCTGACTCGTCAATTTATTAAATAATTCATAGTTTTATTCCCTTTCAAGTCGAATTTCTATGAATTTCCAAAGCTGATATGCTTAACAATAAGAAGATTTGATTGTCTGCTTCATCCGTTCATTATTTTCTCGTTTTGTATCAGCCTTCAAACGTTACGTTTGAGTCATAATCTGAATAATACCTTGAACTTTGTCCTATGTTATGCTTTCATGCCTACAGTTAACATAACTACAACGGATGTATACAAAATCTGTTTTGCAGCCACGTGGCCGTTTGCTGTCTAGCAAGGCGGAATAATTGCGCCGCGGAAAAGAAGCAGAGATAAACACTGAGGTAAATTATGTTCTAAACCAACCTGGGGTCGCTCCCGAACAAACGAATTTTAAAGATTCTTACGAGAACTGGCACGCACTTTCGACGCCTACTGGTTGCTACGCTCGCACATCGATGCAATATTTATTCTTGTCACTTTCCTTATGAATAAACGCACTCCTACTCTCCCGCGTTTCGCCAAGTTCATTTTTAGAACGCTGACTAAAATTGTCGAAGACGATATTCTGAGTAACAAAAAAGCAATTGATGCTTACGTAATCTCTAAGTTACTGGACTAGAATATTGATAAAAATACCGCATTAAAAATATATTTTAGCGGTATCAATGATATCGTACTTTCAATCACTTCGCATTACTTGATATTACTATAGAATCTGATCACGTTTCTGTCAAATATTCCAGAGATTTAATTCTGGGAAATTACGAGATCAAACGGATTAATACGCAACGCGTCATTGATATTTTACGAATATTGTGCGTAACCGCGCACAATCGCAATACGATATTATTTATAACATAATCGATCACTCACCAGCCTGAGCGGCAAAATGGAGCGGTGTGTTACCCTCGTTATCGGGCAAATTCGGATCCACACCTTCGAAAGAGAGCGCCAGCTCTAGCATCGTCGTCGCGCCGTTCCCAGCCATATAGCTTATGGCCGTCTGTAAACAAATAATCCCAGTTTATTTTGCGCGAAAAGTATGCTCGTGATTACGCAAACTCGCGCTTCGAACAAAACATTATTCACTCCTCGGCCTCTTCGCACGCGAATGTCTCTTTCACGCACTCGACCGTGACCTGAAATCCACGCGATTCACACGTTTCGCGGCACACATTGCACGAATTTAATCCACTAAATCTAAATATCGATAACTGAATGCGGATGAATGCGCAGATTTTGAATTAAAATTTGTCGATTTGAAATAAACCGATATTCCAGATCTCTCTTACGCTAAATCGCCACACATTTTCCATGGTATACAAAGTTTTCATCGGATTTATCTTTGAATGCTATTTCACTGGTCTTTGCTTGATTGACGCGTAAATATATATTGGAATGGAAGCGAACATCGCGTTTTACATCTGCATTGTGGGATAGCATGACAATGTTCTCTCTGTAGGAAGATGTTCTCTTTTCCGTCATTGTTTGCAACCTTCGCCGACATCGAGATGCACAATGGACTATCCGTTAAGAATCAATTTATTAAGTGGCTATTGACGTTCGAACGTTATTGCTTTGCTTGCGTCAGCCAGTACGCCGGTATACAAACAAATGTTAAAGCACGGACTATGCCAACAAACGTTCAAAAGAAGACGCATTTGCTTCTGAAACGACGCGCGGATCGTGAATCAAGCACAACGAGTTCTATTTCATCTATTTCAAACAAAACGGAACGTGCGAGTTAAACAGTTGTTTTACTATTCTCAAATGGAAACTTCTAACACTCCAGGATATTTCTACAATTTTTAGTTATTATCTAAAGCTCGCTTTCGTAATTGACGTCAGAATCCAGAACAAAATTCTATTAATAATTTTACAAGCCGTATATATTCCCGATATGTATTTCGCATGTGTGCGCATTTCGTTCGTTAAATATTTTTTTATATTATTACGGCGCGTAAAATTATAGACAGAATCCTTCTCTGAGTTCTATCGCAAATTAATTTCAAGCAGAACTGTGTCAAGTAGTTTGAGATATTCATTGACAGTCGCACGTCAACTCCGCGTGGACTCCTCGATCCGATTCGAATCATTCATCGGCATCCATCTCATTTTGCTTCAGGTAATCGAACATCTTCTAACGCCCGTCCCAGGGTTAATATGTAAATGTCCGCTTTACGTGCTGCGTGCAAGCGATCGCGAGCGCAATTTCCCGACGCGGCGCGCATTGTAACTCGCAATCATCCTTCCCGTTCCACGTGCACGACCTTAGAAACGGCGGCGATACCGCGGGCTCAGATGTTATCCGTCACAATTACCCAGGACACCTACACGCTTCCCTTCGTCCCGACCTTAATGCAGCGTTCGCCGGCGGCTCCATGAAGGTCGACCGCATTCTAGCTATGGAAGAAGAGACGAAGCGCGATCCGACTTTAATTGCGGCGCAACGTCGTCGCACGCGGAATGCGGTCAGCGCGGGAGAACTCCCGTATGGGATCGAGATTACGCGATCTCGTATCGATTCCGAAGTACGAAAGCAACGATGGGAAGCTAGCCGATCGGTTGAATAAAGCACGCGAGTTTAAGATGTCGGCTTATTAAAATTTCAATAAAGCGCGAAATTTACGGCATTGTCATCTTCGAAGGTATTGCATCGGCCTCGTCCTCGAACGAAGTCGTTCAATGGTAATGAACGCGAGTCATCATCGTGAGACGTTAAACTCCACATGTCAAGAGCATCCTTCGAGACGCTAATTGCAGCGTCTGTAATATCTCTTTGCAAACATCGCTCATCGCTCATCGTGCGATTGCTCGTTCCTGATACGCTTATCCGGATTTTCTCGTCTCCAAAAGCGACATGCATCACGTGTGCTTTTACATAAGCTCTATATCGCACTAATATTAAAACGAATTTTTTTTATTCATTTTTTATTTAGTTTAATTATTTATATTACATCTTTTAATTGCACATTCTTCCTTTGATTAATGGAAAACTTATAGCTTTCAATACTTATTCAGCGGAGCTGAGACTTTTTTATTTATTCAATGTACCAAGGCGGTGGGCGATTTTCAAATATAAATGAGACTTTTTTTTTCGTGTGAGTACAAATCAACGCTGACAGGTGTGTTTATACTGAATAAAAGTAGGGATGTCTATTTTAGCCCTGCATAGTCGTGATCTCATGGCAATTGTTTTTGTAATTGTTGTTACAATGTCTGAACAATTAGCATCGAATGCTGTTACACAACGCGGGGAAGAGACGCTATCGGAGGCGCAAGTGTACAAGTGGAACAACAATTTCTGCGGGGAACACAAAGAGGTGTAGGAGTTAACACATTCCCGTTCATACGTAATTGGTTATTGAGGCAACCAGTTTCTTTTTATAGCATTTTAAAATGACATTTTTAAGCTGAGTAAAGTGCATGGAGGCAAGGGGGTACACAGAAAAGTGTATATATATTGTAGGTT